GTTTTGAACATCCAAAACACGTCCAACACTTGTTGGCTGGTGGTGCTCTTTAGGTCAGACGTGTGTCGGGAAGCTCCTCTGTTGTTTTCCTCTGCCGCTCTCTGTTTAATGGTGGATGAAATAAAGAAAAGTGGCGGTACTTTATTTACTTTGAGCAAGCGGACGTCGTGTTCACAAGATTATTAATCCATCAGATAATTCAGAGGCGATCTGTTTGGTGAGTTTTACTCCAGGAGGCTTTCATGCTACGTTCAGACCGAGCTCTGCCTCTGTTTACTGAACCAGCAGCTGCTGATGCCATTACGCTTTTGCGCAATGCTGCATTCAGGACAAACATGGAAAACTCACCACTCTTACGCCAAACCGGTCGCAATGATGCGTTTAGGTACCGAAACCTGGTACCGTTTGATGTTACGTGAATAGATACTCGGTAGTACCGACAGAATTCGGTCTTTACATCAAAAAGTATCGAATTCGGTACCCATCCCTAGTAATAATATGTTGTAACCATCCCCAAACAGCGTTGCAACTGGCCCCGGCCCCGGGGTCAGTTGCAACATCTGACTTTTCGTTTTCAAATGCAAATAGTGAAGAATGTACACGCTTTAATCATCTATAAATGGTTTTGACTATTAACAGACAGATGTAAGTTTATCGTATTAAAATTAGGTTTGTMTAATTCAAACMWTCTCTGAGGAACAGAGTCAAATGTAAAAAGAGTTGCAACTGTCCCCGGTCTCTGTTACAAAACAAAACGTTTTTTTATCACTCGCCTCCGAAGGGCCATGTTGTGTCTTTTTGTATTTCATTTTTCTCTCTTGTTGATTTATGTATTTAACCTTTTTGTGTTTTCCTTTCAGACGTGTCGTCCTTCCAAATGAACGACTCGTCCTACGACAGTCTGGAGACGGAGCTGAACGATGATCCAGAGTCTCCCTACCAGGAGCAGCTGCCTCTCCGGGACAAAACCAAGCCCGACAGCCGCAGCAGGGACTCCGTCATCACCCTCAGTGACGGCGACCCCGACCCCGACCCGGACTCAGACCTCCTCCTGCAGCTCCCGCCCCTTTTTCGACCCAGGAGGTTCAGCCCTGCGGTCCGAACGCCTTGCGCCTCCCGCCAGGCCAACGGCTTGTCGCAGGGTCCCAGACGGATCCGAAGGAGCTCGGAGCCCGCCTTGGCTTTGGCCAACACTCCGCCGTCGAGCGCCGTGGTGGTTACCGCAGAGAGGTGCCACTTCCCAGTGAGGAAGGCCAGCTACGACGCTGCCACGGAGGGCGAGGGCGAGGAGGACGAGGACGAGGTGTTTGTGGAGCGGGGGCTCAGCAGCCTGCAGCTGAAGGAGGCGGGTCCAGTCGAGCAGAGGAGGATGAAGCACGCCCCTCCTCCTCCTCTACGACTGGATGCCAGCTGTTCCAGTCTGTCGTCGCCGGCGACCTCTCCCACAGGCTCCTCCCTCAGCTCTTTAGACTCCGCCTTTTCCCAGTACTCCAATGACTACGTCACAAACGGAGCCGTGCTACAGAAGTCACCGAGAGACTCTCCGCCACAAAAAGAAGCCCTGTCTCTGTGGCAGCAGTCTGCCCCGCCCCCTCGGACCGGCCACACCCCCTCCCACTCGCACGGCCTCCACCCTAACACGTGGCTTAAGAAGGACCGCTGCCTGTCCCTGCGGCAGCCCGACGGTGGACGAGCAGAGGAGTCGCCGGCGGCTAACAGAACTTCCTCTGTTCAGGAAGCCGCGGCGGCGAACCCAAAGAGCCTGCAGAGGTGCAGCAGTCCTCCGTCCTACCAGCAGGCTCTGCTGCAGCTGCAGCAGCACCGCTCCCCCTCCCACAGGCAAACAGAGCTGCGAAGTGTCAACGACCAGACCAAACACTCAAACACAACCGTCCCGACTAACAGCAAGCCGCACACAGGAAGTGAGGTCGCACAGAGACTGCCAGGAGGCAAGTGGGTTCAGCCCCCGCAGAGTGTTTTCTACGGACAGAGCGCCACCACTCTGGTCCTCCAGAGACCAAAGTCCCACTCACTTACTCCAACCGTGGAGGGCCTCAAAGAGAGGAAGACCCTTCCCCGCAGAGCGTCCGAACCGTCCAAGTCTGCCGGAGACTCCAGCCCCTCCATCAGCCTCCTGTTGGACCGGACCYCTAAAGCTCAGCTACGTAACGACAGACTGAGAGCTGCAGAGGTGGACTCCAAAACCTCCAAACAGCACCTCTGCCTGTCTCCCTCCGCCAGCCGAGTGGTGAGGGACTACTTTTCCACGCAGGCTCAGGCCGATCCCGACGCCTGCCTGCGGAGGAGTCAGGAGGTGGCGCTGGCGATTGTGCAGAGTAAGAAGGATTGGCAGAACCGGCAGTGCAGCGACCCGCGACTGGAGGACTTTGAAAAGCTGTTTTTTGCAGAAGAGTCGTACGTGTAAATAATATTCACGTAAATTTGTATCTGTTTTATTTGTGTACGACTGATGTTTTTATTGTGAAAACATTTTTGCCTGTTACTGTAATGGTACTAGAGGTTTTAAAGGGTAAAACCCGGGTTCAGTTGTGATCAGCAACAAACATCCGACAGATCAAACAGGGTCACTGTTAAAGCTGCGGCACAAAAACTGGGTATCTTTATTGCTTTCCTGAGATGTAAAAAAATTATTTTTTGGAAAGGAACTCTTTCCTGAGACATAAAAAATTTTATTTGGAAAGGAAGTCTTTCCTTCTTTACCTTCAGAAGAAACGCTGACATCAGAGCTAAAAAAAAAAGGTAGAGGAAATGCTTTTGAAAATAAAAGTATTGACAACATTTTTAAGGAACTTTTTAAAATTCACCAGAGAAATAACTTTACTGTTATCCTCCTTTTTCGGTTTTCCTTCACTACACATAAGATGTAATAATTCATCAAATGTTCTAGTATATTTTCTGTAGATCCGATTTCCTGAATCTGAGTTTGTATCTGAGCAAAATCTCATTCCCATTGAACAGATTTTCATGCAACTTTCATAATTAAATCCTTAGGTGTACAACTGCTTGCCTTTTGAAGTTACCTTAATTCAAGATGGCCGCCAAACAGCTATAACGCTACGTCAGTGGTTCCCAGACTTTTCAGCTTTTGTCCCACAAAATAGCAGCAGCAGAGACCTGAGCCCCCAGCTGTTGTCGGTTGATAAACATCGTTTTCACGTCAAATAAACAAGAGCATAGTAACATTATTTATTATGCTATTTTTGTCCATTTTAAGTACACTGATCTTATTATTTTGTAAAAACAAAGAGATAAAAATGTTCTTAGTTGTCATTTTTTTTTGTGTAATTAATTCAAAAAATATTTTCAGGACCCCACCTTGATGTTTCGGGACCCCACTGTGGGTCCCGACCCCAACTTTGGGAACCACTACTCTAGGTGATATGTGTTTTTTTCAAGAGATGCCAGCTTTTTTTTTTTTAAATCATACTTTGTACTCCGTACTTACAGGCGTTTGGCTGAACCCTTGAATCAGTTTAGTTATTTATCCACAGCTCAGCGTCTCGTTTGGTYGGATTTCTATAATTAGTAAAAATGTGAGGAAAATCATTCTTTAGTCCAACCTTTGTAGCACTTCACTGTTTTATAAAGAAAACAGGATTAGTCTCATGTGCCTACAGCTCACTGTGTTTCCACAATCTGCTTTTTTTAACTTCATATTAATATATTTTGCTCTATTGCTGCTCAGACTGCAGTATTTATTCTTAGATAACACTTAAAGGAGATGACCATATTCAGCTATATGTTAATGCACAAAAGCCTGTTCATAAATAAAGAGCTCATGAGTATTAAACAGGGTTATTTTCTTCATCCAGGATATCTGTGAAGTCATTCTCATGTTTAGTCTTGTCCCACAAAGTACTTAATCCTTTGTTTATAATTATTTCTTTTACCAGAATTTGTTTTTAACTTGTAAAGATGTGCATATTTATAATACAAATATGTGTATACATGTATAAATATTTTGATCTTTTAGTATGTTGTGTAATAAAACATCAAATGTGTATTTTTGTACATGCCAATTCTGCTGCTGCTGTCTGAACAGAAAGTATATTTGCTACAAAACACACCATTTGTATATTGTGTTCATCTGATGTCTAATGCTCACAAGAACAGAAGACATCGAGTTTAATAAAATGTTGCTCCTGTGAAAATACTTTAAGATATGAAGTGTTTCTGTTTTCATCTATAGCTGATATTTATGCATATTACAGTTTAGTATGTACCCGGTATTGTTATTTATTTTTGATAAATAGCCAAAGCTGAAACTTTTAAATGATTTGATTCTTTTGACCAGAAGATCTTTTCAGTCGTGTTTCTGTCTGATCCGTGAAAGATTTAATGTCTAAAATCAATGTTCAGATCTATCTATCTATCTATCTATCTATCTATCTATCTATCTATCTATCTATCTATCTATCTATCTATCTATCTATCTATCTATCTATCT